GTTAAATATACGAGTATTTATGGACTATTTCTACATTGGACATTGAGGGAAGGAAAGATTAGTTTCCTTCTTTCACCCAATTAGCATTAAAGTAAGATTAAATTCATGACGATGGGCATTTCCACTTATGGTTGTGGACATCTTGAAAAGTAGACATTAAAATTCTAAGGTTAATTATTTTAAATATTTCTTCAATACAGCCTTAGTATCGAGTAAACACGGCTCATTAAATAATATCTGATGTACCTTAAAGAACGATTTACAATATAGAATGCAATAATACGATCCTACCAGCGAGTATACATCGGTCTGTTTATGCATATGGAGCGAGAAAGATATCAAGAAATTACAAAAACCTAAGAGTAATGTGCGGCAAAAGGTTTATTTACAAAGGGATACATAGAAAGCTTGATGCACAGAAAGCAAATCTTGCTAAAAGTACTACCTATCGACGCTTCCTAGCTTTCCATTCAGCATACTTTTGCTCTGCAGCATCTAGCATCGCTTCTAGATGTCCTGTGACGCGACCTTCTCCATCTCCAGAGCTCGGCACTCCTGAGGTTGTGGCTGACATACATCCGGGACCCGTGGGGGCCCCAGTTGATGAAACTATGGACGTCGTCTTTGCAGCGAGATTTAGTGTGCCTCCAGAACCACCTGAGCTTACACCACCGGCTGAGAGGCCAATACTATTGCCAACATTACTCGTGGCGGATACGGAAGAAGCATTGCCCGATCCAACAGAGCCAGCACCACCTGAAACAGATGCTGCGAATTGTGCCAGCTTAGTAGATCGAAACCGAATCAGACTAGCTGCGATGCGATCGAGCTTGTGTGCCAGACCCGATGTAGTTACAGGGAAGCAGGCCCAAAAGTGCCGTAGCAGTTCGGCCGCCCCGGAATAAAGCATATTCAGCTCCCGAGACTGGTCTGGATTAAGAAGAACAGGCTGGTGATGATGTCCAGAGAAGCCAAGTGATCGCCTGCCCGACATATTAGTAACAGAACCCCCAGGTCCGACAGAAAGCTTGACACTTGAGGATAGCCCATCTGACTCGTTAACCACTGCAAAGCCAACAGAGCCCAAAGAAGTCTTTGGCTTACCTCCCAGAAGTATGCCACCAGGTGAGACGTCTGTGAGCGCAAGCTGGGCATTGATTGCTGTCAATGTGCGCCCCGCACCTCCAAAACGTGCATGGGGAGAGTTTAGGGTAGCTCCCAGAGACGGAATATTGGAACTATTGTGTAACCCGACAGTAGAACCGTCAGACAAACGACGTCGCTTGTTCACATAGTCCGAGAGTCGGGCACGGAACCTAGATAATGCAGCCTTATTGAGCTCCTGGATCCGGAGCGCGGTCATATGTTGCTGCTGTTTACTAAGGTCAGTTGATCTCTTCAATCCGGAAGAGGAAGAACTGATTCCACCAGACAATGAGTTGCTTCCGCCCAGTTTCCCGGCCACAGGGCCCTCTAAATAATCCTCAACTCGAGTAAGGTGTAATTCACGCACAGGTGTTTTCACTGGCTCGTCTAGTTCGTCTGGATAGACGTGACGACGCAAATAGGATGAGCAAGGAGCAGAGGGTGTTGGCTGGCTTGCAAGACCTGCGGCCTCGCCAGGGTTGTGAGAAACGGAATGGTTAGCGTCAGTAGCACTGAGGGATTTGAGCACCATTATTGAATGATTATTAGACCTGCGTAACAGTAGCTGGTTGGCTGACAACTTGTTTAACGGAGTTAGACCAGAATTGATTCCTGTGGCATTAGATGAATTGGCGGATGGAACCCCGTTAGCAAAAGCGATTCCTGAATTGCTGTCGGTGGTTACAGAAGCTGCATCTGCGTAGTCCGATGAACAGCCATAGCCAGATCCGACGTCGTGATCTATAAAACTTGAAAGGTCTAAATGAGAAAGGAGGCGCGCGCGGCGTGATCGACGGGCTTCTAGAGAAAGCTGACGTTCATCTTGAATAGCACACTCGGTAAAGATATCATCCTTGGGTAGATGAACACGATCTCTTAAATGAAATAAATAATTATTTAAAACTAGTAGCTAATTCAAGTCATAGGACAAAATCTTGTGCAAATAATGAGCTTGGATGATAATTGAAAAGTGGGGGCAAGATGTCCTCAAGGTTTCCAAGCTAGTTAACTCGCCATCATACGAAGATACCCTCTAAAAAGTTAATGATCTATAAAACATAGTGGCTATATTAGTAAGATGGAAATTATCGGATGAAGTACGTCTATTCTCAAAAATATGCATGCTTTTTACAGGATGTTGACGAAAATTGGTTTAATCAGGATAAAGTCTATAATACGGAAGAGCAAATGGCAAATATCTTAAGAAAAGTAAGCTCAAAATGGATGGAAGAGCCGTTTAGATTCGGTATAAGTACTTGTATGGTTGTTAAAATAAGATATTATAGACTAATCGTCTTGTGGTTAAATTGACTAAAAATTGCTTGAAGGGGTTGATCTTGACTTTTCGAATAGCAGCCCGAGCTCCTCCATTTGCTGAAAATTTTTATTTAAATATTCCGAATTAAGCACTGTTGGAATCTAATGCATACAACGAGCAAAATTATTTAGAACCTGGCAAATTCGTTATTAAACAATAAGTGCTTTTCATTCCAAAAATTTACTTAGTATCATATGTGGTCCGGCTATGCCAGGGAGTTATTTGTGAAGAAATGAAGTAACGGTAGTCAGAAAACCATAAAGCTTATTTATGAGTATAAATAAAGTTGTCATTGAAAAGTATGATCTCAATCACGAGAACTAAGATTTTGAAAATGAAGAAGGAAAGTTGTTGACCAGTGAATATGCTGAATTCGAGAAAGCGCCTATAAGATAGCCAATTCTTATTTTTTAAAAAGAAAGTTTTAAGATATGTAACTGTTCTACAAAATGGGTAAGGTAGGTCCGATTGGGCTTTAAACAGAGGTAACATTTGTATTTAATTTTTTTTACTTAAGCACAAGTAGATAAGCGAAAAGGGGAATTATTTAAAAAGTCCCAAGGCAGTAATTTATTTCCCAGTCTATCTTCTTCAGCTATTTGTATTTGAAAGGTAAATATGATAAAATGGAATGTAGGAAGAATGCATTAATTGAGCAATGATAATTAAGTGCAAGTTGTGAATGAATAAAAACGAGACCCCGAAATTCGGTTATAATGTGTTAGATAGGTATCTACCTCGTTCCAAATGTATGCAAAACCGAAATTCTGACAACATAGAGATAGTAACACAGTATAGTGCCAA